GCACATTGAGTGTGTGTGAATGTTTCCCAATGATGGGTCGCACCTAGGGCATCCACTGTGTAAAACATATGCTGGATAAGTTTGTGGTTTATTTTGCTGTGGCAACCTCTGATTAATAAAGGAACTAAGCCGAGAAGAAAATGATTGAATGAAGAAAAAAGTACTTTCTGTTAACTGAACATTATGACAACCATCTTTTAATAAATAATATAAAGAATGCATGATTTTTTTCCCTTTTCCCCACAAAAAAGGTTCAGATTTTATTCAAAATATAAACTTATAGTGTTAACTGCATTTTCTCTTCTGGCATTTGACTTACATTGCCTGAAATTTGATATTGCAGTACTGTGGATATTGTTAAGATAACTTGCTTAATAAAGCAATTTATTAATAAAGCTTAATAAAGGTATTCATGAAGATTTTCAGTCAGGTTTTAAAGGGTCACGAAACACCAAAACACATTTTTTGAGCTGTTGACGGTCATATATGTGTCCCACGCTGCTAAAAACACTATTAGGATACATATATTTTACTAGAAAGTGAAAATTGGTTGTTTTTGCGTTATTAGGAGCAAATTCACTCTTCCAGTTTGAAACGAGTTTTTGAAACTGCGTCACGGCGATTAGATCCTTGTGTGTATTCCAGTGTGGAGAGTGGATGTCTGTACCTGGGAGTACTTTGTGACATCTCTGAGTGTGCAGCATTAATTTATGAGAAAGGCTTGGTTTAAACCAATCAGCGTGCTCTTTTGTGAATGTGATGCAACTTCATTAATATGCATGATAGCTTCGAAGACTTACATGTTACAGTGTTCAGACGGCAGAGAGACGCCACGTTGTGTTGCCAAAACAAGTGGACGAAGAAGAATTAATTGGAAACATGGTCATTAGTGTTTTGTCAAAATGTGCTACAAGGAAGGTTTTGTTTTTATTTCCCGCTATGAGAGCACTGCTGGACTCACGTGTGGATTAAAGTGCGGCAGAAATACGTATGTAAGGAAAGGTTAGTAAGTTTAATCTCTAATTTTCCTTATTTAAGAGTAGATTATCCAGTTTGATGTCACGGTGGAAGATTCCCCTCTGGCAGTACAGGTTAGCAGCATGAACTGCTTGCTGCATGATGTGATGTGTTGTGCTTTCGTCTAGGGTTCCACCGTGATGGTACAGGAACTCTTCAAGATTTTCAGAAGGAGATTCGAGGATCAAGATATAATGGTCCTCATGGTCTTGCCAGTCTAGAAGCTTAATGACGTGGGGGTCGCTGGGCCCTTTATTAGCAGGGATGGTGAGGGCGATCTCCTTTGGCATGTGGTTTGAATGGTCGGCCTGAAAGATGTAGATGGGTTATTATTTTTAGATGGAGGTGGGTTCCCTGTGAATCATGCTAATATGATATATTGTATGTGTTTTGTACAGTGCATTGTACTTACAAAACATTCTGTATACTGGCTCTTGGTGACGTATTTCACAGCCACCTGATGTACAACAAGAAAATGAACACTAAGATGGCTTAGAGAGGATGAAGATATGGCAGAGCAAACATTTGCCTGCTTGATAATGTGTTATTTATATTTACCTTAAGACCATCATCCAAACGCTTCCCTTCATATAATACACCAAATCCACCTTTCCCCAGCTCATCACAGATATTGTAATGGCTGAAGATGTAGTCTATTGAAGGATAAAATAACATAACAAATGTTAAACAATTACTAGTTTTGAGTCCAGGAATAGGTTTGAGTCCAGGTTTCCTCCGGGTGCTCCGTTTTTCCCCACAGTCCAAAGACATGCGGTACAGGTGAATTGGGTAGGCTTAATTGTCCGTAGTGGATGAGTGTGTGTGTGAATGTGTGTGTGGATGTTTCCCAGAGATGGGTTGCGGCTGGATGGGCATCTGCTGCGTAAAAACCTGCTGGATAAGTTGGCGGTTCATTCCGCAGTGGTGACCCTGAATTAATAAAGGGACTAAGCTGACAAGAAAATGAATGAATGAATGAATGAATGAATAAAGAGTCCAGGAATGCATTGATAGTCAATTCTTGAAAAACTTGTTTGATCCACTTCAGATGTTAACTACTGTATATTGAATTTCTTTTACATTCATAAGTAGGCCATTAGTATTTTAACAGCATAAATAATAGCCTTGATACAAATTTTGGTATTAATTGGAATTGAAGTTTGTACAGATGTGTGTTTTTGGTATGTAGGTGGTATGAGGTAAAGTCTAGATCGAATACGCAGCCGGCAGGACATGCGATATGCGCATCAATATATAATCAGTATAACAATAATTAATATTTTTACAGTATTGTGACTGTTGGGTTTAGGTTTGGGATGGGAGGCGTTAAATAAATACAATAAATGGGAAATTGAATAAGTAATAGAAATAACAGTACAAATAAATTAACTGTTAATAGTTAACTTTAAAATATGGCGATTTGATTTCTTTATCTCAAATGGTGTCACAATTCATTTAAGTGTTTAAAGTGTGTCCGATGTAGGTTACTGAAAATATGGATTCAATTCCCTATATAAAAACATTGATTTGATTTATTTATCCTTAATTAGTGTGTGCGATATAGCCTAGCCTACTAAAAATATGAATTCAGTACTGTAAATAAAAATAACAGCATAACTGTAAAAAATTAAAGCTTGTGCATCATAGAGAATAATATTTAGACAATTTTACAGTTTATTTGATTCCTCTATCTTAAATGGTGTCAGAGTACAATTTATTTAATGTGATTAGTAGGCTAGATATACTGAAAATATGGCTTCAATACCATAAAGGCATAACTAAAACAAAAAAGCAGGTCTTGTGCATCAGAGAATAATACTTAGAAAATTTCACAGTTGATTTGATTTATCTCAAATGGTGTCAGAGTTTAATTCATATAGGCTATATATGCAGCGTTTAGACAGCGTCTAAATAGCTCTGTTTATGTAGCCTATACAGTTGTTTATGTATATGTTTGTTTGTTTTTGTTTCTCGTAAACAGATGTCTATTTAATATTTCTGTTAGCATACATATTTACATTACAGCATCTTAAAATAGATACTTAAAGTGTATGGTCCACTTCAGCACGTCCTCAAAAGCGAAGTTGGCACATTCCACAGTTGGGCCGTCATATAAGTTAATAAATAATTTTACAGTGATAAATAATTCACCTCAATAAAATATTGTTTCTGTATGTTAGGTAGTTTTTCCACACTCTGATGTGCTTACATATTGTGTGTGTGTGTGTGTGTGTGTGCGCGCGCGTTTGAATTTATTGTATATGTTGTACGTACAGATTCAAATACGACACTAGAGGGAGCTGTTTTTACGCCTAAACAACTCTCCGATTCAGTCTATGAAATTCAATGAAATTGTATCTTTAACAAATATGCCTTTGCTCTTCATAGACCTATAACTATATAACTTTATTATTTATTTTATTTGGTTATACATCGTTTGTGGTTTCATATCAGGTTTTAACAGTATATCACACATTACATTGATATCTAACATTTGCATTACTCCCACTGTATAAACAGCATTACCTCCACTGAATAATAGGTTACTCATTAAATGTACTGCTTGCTTTAAATGTTCTGCTTCTAAACATGAAGAAAAGAAACAGACAGTGATAATGAAACACTTTAATTGAATCTTCCAGTAGAGACTTGATATGGAATAAAACTGCTTTCTGAGAGTACAGGTAAGCAAGAACAGCACGAAAAAAAAGGGACAGAGACGAGAAGCCACTTAAGAAAGTGCAAATATGAAGGAACAACATTATATATTTTCTTCAAAAAATACAAAAATGTGTACATTTTAACAGTGGATGGGATTTCACTATGGATAAAAAAAATCTTAGAGGAAGTTAATCAAAAATTAACAATTTCTTTTAACAAAACAATATCACTAGTGCCATTTAAATCTTAGTCAACACAAAAGAAATCAGTTTACTCTAAAAATGCACAGGCATTATGTAAGCTTTTCCTCCTGCTTTTCTAAAGGTGTTTTATGAAACATATTCGTGCCATTTCAGAATAAAAGTAACAAGGACGTTCTTCTGTGCAGCTCAGTGGTGAGTCCACAATACTGTACATGGACAAAGAAAACGATGCCTGCTTCTGCTCTCATTTGTAGACATCAAACTTACAATCCCGGGGATCAAACCACACTTGCAAAACAACCAACAACAACAAAAAAAACAGACTGCACAACACTTTCCTTACTAATAATAAGTACATTTACACACCCACTTTTAAAATCAGTCGAACGCAACTGTGATGAAAGTAGCGCAACATTTGCACGAGTTCCCTACCCACTACTTACATGCCCAACTCCCCATACATTTATCCCATTCAACGGTTTTCGTATTCAAATATATGCATTTTTCATTCTACATTAGACATTTTTGTCTGTTTTTGCTACATGTTTTTCTCCTTTCCAGCTGTGAGAAATGTTGCATTAATAACCTCGTTATCCTTCTCACAGCTTCATGCCGCTCAGTTCACTTAAAGCATTATAATTCTGCACAAGATTTATGTTGTGGTCTTTCAGACGTGTTCACGCTACTCTACTCTGTACAACACTGTTCTAGTCTCTAAGCTAGGATGCAGATCTTTTTTTGTCAATGGAATACTGATTGTAAACTGGGAAAAGGATGGGAAATGCAAAAGAAATAGAAAGAAAACAAACAAATTGGCTTTAAAAAAGTCAAACTTCTTACGAACAAGACCAGAGGAGGATACTCGCCACAAGTATGATGCCTCATCATTAAACATGCTTGGTCACACAGAGTTGTCAAGTATCTTCCAGATTCTCACGGGCTGAAAACTGAGGACTCTTCAGCCAGATTCGATGACCCCCACCCTAACAAACTGCCTTCAAGTAGTACACAAAGCCAACCCTCTAGTCATCTCCCACCCCTCCCTTCAACCAATCAGCTTCTACATGTGAACCCAGACTGACAGGGTTGCATCAGCAGTTGCTTTATGGTCAGCTCCATCTAGGACACTGAAGAAATGGGGTTGTGAGGAGATCCCATCTGGGTGAGGACTTTATCCAACCACTGCAGGGGTCCATGAAGATGAATCTCAATCCAGCACGGGGTGCTGGTCACATCCTGCCGATGGTACTCTGCACCCCAGCCCTGGAAAACAACAACAGATGTCTGTTGAAAGATTTGTTTACAAACAAAAATGAATTTACTTCAGCGTCTAATGGTTTTTCCTTTCATAAAGGTAAGAAGGTTCCATAATGCGTCTATTTATATGACTAGAATAATTAAAATTATCTGATGCTCACCTAGGCTGAATTTATTTAATCAAAAATACAGCAAAGCAGTAAGGTTGTGAACTGTTGTCAGTATTTCACCATATTCCAGATATTTCAATAGTTATCTTTTAATGCTTAAAAATAAATTATTAGTACTATTACTGTTACTACTACTATTCATTCATTCATTTTATTTTCAACTTAGTCCCGTTATTAATCAGGGGTCGCCACAGTGGAAAGAACCGCCAACTTATTCAGCATGTTTTATGTAGCGGATGCCCTTTCAGTTACAACCTATCACTGGGAAACATCCACACACTCTCATTCACTCACACTCATACACTACGGACAATTTAGCTTACCCAATTCACCTATAGTGCATATCTTTGGACTGGGGGAAACCTGGAGGAAACCTACGCAAACACAGGGAGAACATGCAAACTCCACACTGAAATGCCAACTGACCCAGCCAAGGCTCAAATCAGCGACCTTCCTGCTGTGAGGTAACAGTCCTACCCACTGCACCACCTTGCTGCCTACTACTACTACTAGTACTACTATTGTTATTATTATTAAGGTTGAAGATAATTGTGCTGCTTAATATTTTGGGTGAAATTGTGTTTGGAGCAAATTAAATAAAGAAAGATTTGTTTTTGAGCAAGGTGACGTTACATAAAACAACAGTTTTTTTTAACAAAACAATAATAAAAAAATAATAATACAAATTATTCACATACACGCAGTTTTGTGTTTTACAAACTATAACAATATTATTAAGCAAATGTTTAAAAATTACTAATTTGACAGTTTAAGTAACATGCCTATTCTTTTTTTAAGGAGTGCAAAACATACAAAATACAATAAACACAGAAATGAAAAACTAAAAACATACGGGATACGCAGAACACATACGTGAAGTTTTACAAACAAATTATAAGAGGAGCACATGATTTGATTGATCGTGGCTGGCCTCTTCGTAAACAGCAATAATGCAATCAAATTGATTGAAGCTTACAACAAATAGGCCGATTTCGCCGTACTACCTTTTCTTCGTTTTGGAAAAGTTCCCCCCTTCCACCCCATCTCCTCCTTTCCCTTCTTTTACCAGGGGGAGCTTTCGAGGCCTACCTGATCTCGGACCCCTATATATGCTTATTGACCAGACAGCAGCCCTAGTCAATTACCTCCAAACCCAGGGTTCTCTCCTGGGACAGCATGCCAAACCAGCTAATAGCATCAAGCAATATCTGAGTGTGAAATTTTGAAACAGCAATAGAACAGAAATGGAAATAATAGGATGTGTATAAACACCAATGACAAAACAATATTGGTAGTACTGAAATATTATTTAACATAAATTGTAAATAATATTTTAGTTACATTCTGCTGTTTTGGGTTCTGTTTAATGTTTCTCTGTTGTAGTTGCTGTTGTTGTTGATGCTGTTTTCTAAAACAAGATCTCTAATTAGTTTACTGGGTTTTTACAGTAGTTCATTTCCTCACCTGTCCTGTTTTACGCTGATGACTATCCTCATGTATTTAACCCCTAAAAATGTCCTTAACTCCCTTTCCTGTATGGATGCTGTGTTCATTAAAGTTCAGTACACTCTCGGAAATAAAAGTACACGAGCTGTCCCTGGGGTGGTACCTTTTCAAATGGTACAAAGTTGTACCTTAAAGGTCCATTTTAATACCTCAAGGGTATATATTAGCACTTAAAAAGTACAAAAGTGTTCCTCTTAAATTTTTAGGTACTAATATATACTTTTGCGGTACCAGTATGGACCTTTTAAGTACAAATGTGTACCTTTTGAAAAGGTATCACCCCAGTGACAGCTCGTGTACCTTTATTTCTGAGAGTGTAAAGTACTGTGTTTTCTCCTGTGTATTTATTATAAATTAAAAACATAATACTGCATACTAGAGTAATAACTGTTAAATATTTAACTTTGCCATCACGTACATGCCAACTTCGTATTCGAGCCAAACATTGTAGAATAGCATTTGGACACTAGGTGGAAGCATGGTACTATATAACAGACTTCACTGAATCAAGGAAGAGCATTGGTAAGAAGCACACAGTTTTTGACCTTATTTCACCATATTCCAAATTTTCAAATATTTATCTTTTAATGCCTCAATATATTATTAATAATATTACTATTAATAATATTATTAAGGTTGAAGATAATTGTGCTGCTTAAGAAAAATATATTAATATAATTCATTATTGCAAGGCGACGCGGTGGGCAGTATGTATGCCTCACAGCAAGAAGGGTGCTGGTTCGAGCCTCGGCTGGGTCAGATGGCATTTCTGTGTGGAGTTTGCATGTTCTCCCTGTGTTCGTGTGGGTTTCCTCCAGGTGCTCTGGTTTCCCTCACAAGTATTTTTTATTAGTTTTCTGTAAAATGAGACCATTTTCATACATTTATTCAAATGTATGCATGTGTAGGAGGCTCTTAAATTTAGGTATGTCATATGTGCAAAAAACAAAAATATGGAAATTAAAAGTACACTCTTCCTAACAACAGGTAAATCTGTATAATTTTTATTGCATATAAGATAGCAAAAAAAAAATTTCCTCAGTTTATTGCCACCAGGTGAAATAAAATGAAACAAACAAAAGAACTCCACATAAACAGATGGCTAAAAATGGAATAATCAAATAAGAAATAACAAAAAAATCTGACTTTTTTGTGTGATTATTGTATAATTATGAATTAATAAAATACTAAATATGCAATATTTTAATGCATCTTAAAATTTAGGGGATTTTCTTTCAAATAAGACAGGTTTTATTCAGCTACTTCAAAGTTTGTAGCTAGGGCACTCTTTTGAGGTTAGAAAGATACTTTTCTGTAAAAAACTCTAAATATGCTGCAGAGCTCAATGCTTAGTGAATTGAGTTTGGAGCAAATTAACATACAAGAGAGTAGCGTACAATACAGATGACTGAATCCTGCGGTCTGTTCTTTGTAGCTCGCTTAAATTATCTAAGATGATTTGTCAGATCCTGGATCTGTTAATCTTGATAACTGATCTCTGGCTAATTTCTGGTTAATTTTGCCTTTGGACTCCTAACAGTTACGCATACAAAACTTCCTCATTCTTCCAACGATATCGGCAATTGGAAAGCCGCTACACTTACATTAATAAAATAAATGTGAAAGAGAAGAGAGTTTCACAATACTGCTATTTTGATTGTATTTTGCTCAAATAAATGCAGCTTTAATGAGGGTAAGTGACTTTTCACAACGTTTAAAAATCCCAATTATTCAAAAAAAATGAGGCAGCTGAAATGCTAAAACATTCCTCACAATATCTTCTATGTTTTAGAGAAGTGGGAAATACAAATAACTTGTAAACCACACGAGGGTGAGTAAGGAATGACACTTTCAATTTCCAGGTAAACCTTGTGTTCATCTTGTGTACAGTAGCTTACCTTTACAAAACTCATGCGGATGGTGCACATCTTGGTGAGTTCATAGACAGCTTCAAAACCGTGATTGACTGACTGTGCCAAGAGCTCTGCAAACTCCTGGTTGTTGAAGATCTTGAGGCTGCAGCGACTGGGGATCTTGCATACGGTGGTGGGGTGGAAACCATGGTGGTAATTGCAGTTGCGGCTCTGGACAAAGATACTGCTGTCGCTCAAACATTCGGCATACACCTCTCCTCCCACATAGTACAAATGGACTCCTGCAGAATGTATGAAAAGATGATTGTTTACATTATGACAAATATTACAGCCTTTTCTAAAGCAGACCATGCACTGCAAAGAATGCTTTACTTATTTAGAGAGTTTGTCTTATTTCTAGTCTAAATATCCAAAAAAATATTAAATCAAGAAGCATTTTCTAAACAAAATAATAATAAATGATATAACGAAGTCAAAACAAACAGTTGAAACGTAAAATAATCTGTCAACAGAGTAAGCAAAATAACCTTCTCTTTGCTTTGAAGTAAGATTATTTAGCTTGTTTTTTTGGAAAACTCATATAAGGGGGTCCGAGCCCTCTGGTAATGGAGGAAAAGGGGGAGATGGGGTGGATGGGGGAACTCTTCAAAAATGAAGATAAGGGAAGTAAGGTGAAATGGGCTATTTTATTGTAGGTTTGGATTAATCTGACTATTGTCTGACCAGAGACCAGACGCGATCAATCATCAGAACAATCACATGCTCCTCTAGAAATGATAAAACTTCACACTGACTTACTGTCAAATTGTTATCCTATGTAATTGTGCAAGTCAATGCAGAATATTTAGTATATCCTACTGGACATAGAATAGTTATGTATAAACAAAGCAAACCTTTTCCGATGTGACGCCGGGTGTTTTCGATGGTTGAGTTCCGGTTGACATTTGACAGCAGACCCAGGCAGAAGCGGTTGCGGTTGTTGGATGGGTCAGTAAAGCCATCCACGAGTACACTGGTGGATGAGGCCAGAAAGGCTTCACCCACACGATTATTCAGCTCATAGTACACAATGGAGCACCAGTGCTTGGGTTCCTGATAGGCCACAGGATGAACATCTGCACACAAAATTGTAAACTCAATAAGCACAAGAGCACATACGCTTAAGAAGTTAAATTTGTCATATATTATAATGTTATTTATTTACAGAAAAGAAGAATTTTGAGTTGAGCCTCAATTGCTCTGGTTTTCAGTATCACATGATCCTTCAGAAATGATTCTGCTATGATAATTTGCTGCTCGAAGAACATAACTTAAAGGGTGAGTTCACCCAAAAATAAAAATAGCCCATGATTTACCCACCATTAATGCATTAGGTGTATATGAGTTTTTTTTGCATTTATGAGAGACTGCTTTTGGGCAGATGGGGTAGGATGTATGTGTAGAGGATAAAATGTTAAATTGTCTTCATGTGCAAACCAAACTTCCTATGTAAATGCATGTATTACAGTCAGGAGAAGTTGCACACACCTTTTAAAAAGTTTTAAATATGGACATACTGGATGAACTAAATTGGCAGTAGTATGTGTGTGAATGAGTGTGTACGGGTGTTTCCCAGTTATGGGTTGCGGCTGGAAGGGCATCTGCTGTGTAAATCATATGCTGGAATAGTTGGTGGTTCATTCCACTGTGGAACGCACAGATTCACTACATTGAGACCTATATTAACTCCCTGGTGTCATGTGAGTACATACTTAATTGGACTTGTTTTGAACAGTTGAAGGGAAACAGCCACCTGTTGTGATGGTAGAGCTTAAAAGACCAAGGAGATTTTTTTGAAGTAACTGAGATTGAATTATAATGAAAAATAAAGTCATATACACTGAGGGTAGCTCAAAGATTAGTAAATCATGCAGTAATTATCATTTTTATTTGAACCAACTCTTATATATGAGTACAAGTCTTTTAAACAATTGTGTGGCCTACTGTTTTTGTGTAAATATTTGAATCTTTTAAACCTTTATGAATAGAAAGTCCTCAAATTATCAATTTAATGCATCATTGCAGAATTCTTTTTTATTCTGACCCCAAAAATTAGAGTGTTGTAAAATAATAATGTAAAAATAAGTGTCAAAAATTTTATTAAAGTCATAAATGAAAACCTGTATGAGTTTTTTTCTTTTTTTCTGTTGAACACAAAAGATTGTTTTGGTGAATGCTAGAAACTGGTAGCCATTGACACCCATATTAGGAAAAATACTAATGAAGTCAATATACTATTTATTGAATCATTCATTCCTTTTCTTTTCGGCATTTTCTTGTCCCTTTATTAATCGGGGGTCGCCACAGCGGAATGAACTGCCAACTTATTTAGCATATGTTTTTACCCAGTGGATGACCTTCCAGGTGCAACCCATCACTGGGAAACATCCACACTCATTCACACACACACACTCATACACTATGTACAGTTTTAGCCTACCCAATTCACCTGTACCACATGTCTTTGGACTGTGGGGGAAACCAGAGCACCCGAAGGAATCCCCCGCGAACATGGGAAGAACATGCAAACTCCACACAGAAATGCCAACTGACCCAGCAAAGGCTCGAACCAGTGACCTTCCTGCTGTGAGGAGAACGTGCTACCCACTGCGCCACCACGTCGCCATTAAAACATAACTAAATACAGAAGGAAGAAACTCAGACAAGTTTGGAACAAGAAGAACAATTCCCAATTTTGAGTGAACTATCCCTTTGGAGACAAGTTTGTAAATTCACAGATTATCACATGCCTTTTTTACTTGCTTTGCACTTTTGACAACCACAAAAAAAGTCTTGTTTTGTTTTGGAGCATATGCATGCCCCTCCAGCGCGGCATTATGTCTTTGAAAGTGATTTAGCAATATGATTAACAGATTTAGACTCGCATCTCATCTCTTACAGCAGAGGGCATATCGATTTTACTAGGGTATTTCTATGAGGTCACTGTTGCTAGGCTATTAATGGTAACACTTCAGTAACAGGCTGTTGTGATTGGCTATAACCCTGCGCTATTCAAGGGCCAACAAAATACAACAAAATCAGCAAAATGCAAGTGAGATCACTGTCCGTATCAAATCCCACTTTAGAGCAATACTGCATAGTGTTTGTGGGTCACCAAAATAATTCAAATGTCCTCTTTCTGATGTCCACAGCTCATCAACTATTCTAATCCCAAAGAGAGTAAAATGTTAATCTACAGCATTTGTTTAAGTGGACTTCCTCTGATCTGTGACACTGGGCCACAGGTGTGTTTTGTCTACTCTTTTCCCATTAGCCTTTCACAATAGAAGTTGTGCACTACAGCAGTTCACAGGATGCAGCTTGAGTGTGCATCCCAAAACTGTACCACAACTTCCACAAATATTTCAACAGTTCTTCTTCACTATGCACACCCCCACGCCTCCTGTGGGATGCTGGGACACACTATATGTAGACAACTATATGTAGACTGGGCATCCACTGCGTAAAACATATGCTGGATCAGTTGGCAGTACTTTTCGCTGTGGCTACCCCCAGTTTTCAATATAATTGTGTAGAATAGAAAGGTTTATTTACAGATTTGCAGTAAACTGTGCAAACCCGTTAGCAAGCTACTTTTAACATTTATTGTTTGCACATAATGTACACTCCCTGACGAAGGTTTTGTCTTCAATCCCAGTTGTAAAAGCAACAAATAACTTGATTTCTTTTCTAGTTGATCTTTTGGAAAAGTGGCAGAAGGTAGATTTTTCCAATGAATCATCTGTTAAACTGCATCCAAATCATCAAAGATATTGCAGAAGACCTATTGGAACCCGCATAGATCCAAGATTCTCACAGAAATCAGTCAAGTTTGGTGAAGGAAAAATCATGGTTTGGGGTTACATTCAGTATGGGGGCGTGCAAGAGATCTGCAGGGTGGATGGCAACATCAACAGCTTAAGGTAGACATTTGTGTCTATCACATTACAAATGTTATTTTAGCCTCCACATCAACGTTCCTGAAAGCAAAGACAGTCATGGTGCTCCAGGATTGGCCAGCCCTGCAAGAGTGCTTTCTTTGTTATTCCAGACGATTTTTTAATAAGTTATTTGAGTGATTGCAGAGGTGTATAGATGCAGTCTTCCAAGCTTATTGGAGTCATAAACAATACATGCAGCATGACTATATTCTATACTGTACATCATTTCTGTTAAGTCACAGACTTTTGTCTAAGCAAAGTCAGATCTTACTGTCCTAAATAAATTATTAAAAATCAAGGCATGATCATATTTTATTTTGGTTAAATAAGTGTAATCTAGAGGCCTTTGCCTTTCATATAAGCCACTTCTGTGTCAAGTTACTATTTGTTGTTCCTAAAACCTAGATAGACAACAAGACTTTTGTCAGATAGTGTATAATACTGTACATTTAACTGAATATGTCACTTTTTATTACAATTATAATTATTTATTTTTAGCATTTAGCTGAACTTAATAGTCAAAGTGACTTAAAAATGTCAAATTGTTTTCAGCTTTGTGGAAAAGGTTTCCTTATGCTGAATTTTATTTTATTTTTTCAGCCCAACTGTTATACTGGTCACTGTGAATGATTTGTTGCAGTGGTAAAACAACCACTTATTTAGTTTTTCTTATGACAATGCAATTTTGCAAACACAGGCTGCAACTTCTGGTCATCTGTGACTTATTTTTCTACCAAATACAGTACCCTGAGTGTATATATACTTCAATGGTTTTGGACCATGAAGATTTTGTTTGAGAATAACAATGATCAGCAAGCATACATACAGTTGAAGTCAGAATTATTAGCCCCCCTGAGTTATTAGACCCTCTGTTTATTTTTCCTCCAATTTCTGTTTAACAGAGAGAAGATTTTTCTCAACAAATTTCTAAACATAGGAGTTTCAATAACTCATTTCTAATAACTGATTTATTTTATTTTTGCCATGATGACAGTAAATGATATTTGACTAGATATTTTTCAAGACACTTCTATGCAGCTTAAAGTGACATTTAAAGGCTTAACTAGATTAATGAGGTTAACTAGGCAGGTTAGGGTAATTAGGCAAGTTATTAAATAACAATGGTTTGTTCTGTAGACTATCAAATAAAGAATTAGCTTGAAGTGGCTAATAATTTTGTCCTTAAAATGCTGTTAAAAAATTGATAACTGCTTTTATTCTAGCGGAAATAAAACAAATAAGACTTTCTCCAAAAGAAAAATATATTGTCAGACATACTGTGAAAATTTCCTTGCTCTGTTAAACATCATTTGGGAATTAATTAAAAAAAGAAAAAAAAATACAAAGGGGGGCTAATAATTCTGACTTCAACTGTATATGGACTCCCTTTTTCCAACTAAAACACAGTTTTTAAAGAACCCCATTATTTACCAATTTCTAACTGTTTTGCTCATTTGCATGCCACATGCTGTACTGCAAGAACCCCCATACACATTTAAAGGACAAAAACTCAGACTGTCTGTGACGCTGTGCACGAGTATGTTTGTGTGTGGACTTCCTGCACCTGCAGTGTGGGTCGGCAGCTGCTGATAGCTATAAAACGCCCATGTCAGACTGTAAGGAAGGAGCAATATCTTTGCTGGAGTGACTGGAGCTTAGAGTAGTGTCTTATTTTATGGTGTCTTTTAGCATTTAAATGAAGGGTACCTGTTCGGTTGCTGATCTCCAATGGCAAGTTTGGAGCTAATAGGTTAGTGTCCATTGGCTGGGGACAGTCCTGTGTCATTGGCTCCTCTGGAGGCATATACGCAGGTGGAGGGGTTTCTTTAGAAGCAACACCCAAAAACACAAGCAACACAGTGAAAGGTGAATGACGACATGTACTGACAAATGACTAACATTTTTGTATTTCCACATTAGAAATATTGAGGGTTAAACATTAACTTAAGTGGAAAAAAAGAGTCAGTCAGAAAAAAGATACATGTCAAATGTACAGTCTTTCCCTTAAAAGCTGTAGAAGTTTTGCATAGCTTAATGCCAGAACAGTAAAATCAAACTAATATGAATTTGCTAAACTTAATTTGCTAAATCCAGTACAAGAGTGTGTGAATAAGCTCGGTATGAGATTTAACTAACATACATTTCAACTATAAACATACTGTAGGTGAACTCCTCACAGTAATAATGCATTAATAATATTCATAAATGTTTCTAGTGCACCATTAACGTGCAGGTTAAGAGCGATCTCACCTGGCATCTGAAAAGGGCTGCCTGGATCTGAGCTGGATGGCGAATGTGGAAAGGTGGCAGTGCTGCCTGTGCCGCTGTTGGGCGAGCTGGGATAACTGTTGGTTGGGGAGTTCGGGGTAAAGGGAAGGGCATTTGCTGGCTGCTGGGGGAAGGAGTCGGGGAAGGTGGCGTTCTGAGGCATGGGGGGCTCCGTCTGGTGGAGTGGGTTACGGAAGCGTGGCAGCATGGAGAGTTTAGCGTTGAACTCGCTGTTTCGTGGAACCAGCACGGGTGGCAGCACTGCAGGAAAACGGGAGAAATATGTCAACCATGAGAATCAGAACTGAATAGGTGATCCATTGAAGAGAATCCATTGAAGATTTTAATATAATCATACACACTCTTATTAATGAAAGAGGTTTTCACAGTAGCTGAGTTTCCATCACACTGCGTTAATGCACATTTTTGCATGAGAAACAAGATATTCTGAATAAAAGTTGGCAAAAAGGTTTTTATGCTTGGTTGAGATGGTTTTGAGTTTGTGCAAAAAATGCTGAATGTTAATAATGGGAGACGGAAATGAGAATAAATTACACCAATGTGACTGCAGTCGCCTCCTTTATGCTTCCCTTGGTTAAATCCCAAATGGGAATTAGGTGTGTTTTCATCAAGTTGTTGGAGAGGTCGACTGTAGTATTGGTAGTATTGGTACAGTCGACCTCTCCAACAACTTGATGGAAATGCACCTAATTCCCATTTGGGATTTTGTCTTTTTTTGCGAACTTTGAAAAGATTTGCTTCTCATCAAGATGGAAACATAGCTACTGATGCCTTAGAAATACCCCAAAACCATTTTAGTGATCAGTTCATAAAATAGTTTCTAAATATCTACAGTGTTTTCCCAAATATGCCAGGAGGGTGACAAATATCAGAATACCTAAGTTTGTTGTCCACGATTTTCAGTATTTTTGTATAATATCAGTAACCACCAGGATTTTGTGTGACTGATTTTGCTTTATCTTTTCTTAAATTTGCGGCAATATTTTCAGCATTATTCTGTGTTGACTTTCTGTTAAAAATATACCAGAGACAAAAATATTTATTATATATATTTTCATTACTCCTAGGCCCAGGGTTCTGTAGACCCTGGGTATACCCAGGTTTCTGTAACATAAAATAACATTTAATTTTAATATTTAATATGTAACCAATTTAAATTCAATGTTTCTCCTGGTGTGAAAGAGCTGTGAGACCATGCTTGTGTTATGTGGTGTGCCCGAATCAAATCTTTAAGTAATTTCATTCACAAATTTTTTAAGGTCTTTCTAGGTTATCTTTGTATGTTTTCTCATATTTAATGTGCGATGTCTTCTTCGTCTGTTTACATGCCGAGTTACATACCAGTGTAAAGGTATTGCCACCAACATTATCGATGTGTGTAAAATTATTGCTTAGCGAGGGTTCTTTGTTTTGGGTAACTCCGTGTTGTAATGACATTATAGAAAGTTTGTAGTCCCAAAAACAGAAAAAAATATGGGATTCACTCAATTTTGCAGAGTTTGCTTAATTTTGCGATAAATTCAGCAATCACCAAATCTTGGAGAAACTGAAATATGCAGACAAGCTCATCCAATAATCATATTCACAGTTGTCGCACACACCTGTCCATGCCAAAATAGTACAATGATAAAATGTGGCAACTGGTGTTTTGATTTTTAGCAGCAAACATATTTCCTTTCATGTTGCCCACACCTTTCCATTCAGACTAGCTCATATTTGATACAATCTAGACATTTCCACTCAGATTGGAAACTTGTATTTCAGTGAACAAGTGTTCTTAAACAATGGATGTGGACAGCATGTTGCCGTTCTGAAGAGGAGGGGAAAGACAGGTGTCCAGTCATCCGCAGCCTAGCACTACACAAGCGTGTGCAAGGCGGGCAACCATGCTTTCCTGCTATTGTCTGTGTGGGTGACAGGAGTTCCTGTAAAACTTCTTCCTCTATACCGCCACATGTTTGCATGTTTCAGCCGCCACACACACACACACACACACAAAAGTGTACACAGGCCCTGAACAAAGCCCTCATTCTGCCCCCGCCTGGAATTTCCTGCTCTCATAATGTGCACACAAACACACACACACACACACACACACACACACACACACACACACACACACACACACACACACACACACACACACACACATACTGTGGACAGCTGTTTCTGTGTTGTCAGCTGACCCTCATCTTCTGCTTAGCCAACAAAAAGAGGACTGTGCGTTTGAAGTTCATTCTTTCACAATAAGCAGAGGTAAAAAAAAAAAAAAAAAAAGTTTTAGTTTCCCATTAGGATACACACACACACAGCACAGAAGGTTTTAGACTACACAGTTTTCAATTCATCCAAATTCTCTCAAGCGATATCAGGATCAAACAAATGAGAAAAGCACCTGGCAGAGGCCAGAGAGAGATATGGAAGGGGAAGGACAGAAAAAAAGAAAGAGACCATCTGCAGGAATCTCCATGGGAAAGGAAACTCAGAAACATGTGTGGAAAAAGGTGCATATGGGAAAATATTTCCACACACTTTTCACTGACAAAATGATTTTGATCACTTATTATTCTAAAGACATTTTAAAAAGTTAGATAAAATTGAAATTTTAAAATTGAAGGTTTTTGAATGAATATAATTATGCTTAGTAACGACAACATGCATCTCATTAGCAAGCCACGTCAGCATCACATGGTGATGTTTACATTTGAAGGCATTATTGGCCTGATTTATCAGCCATTCAGATAATACTGTGCAACTGTTAAAGTCTGTGTATTCAACCCAATGGACAATAACATTCTGTTATATGAGCATGCTGAACTGAATAGGCTGCCAATGTTTGGGGAAATATATGGTACTACTACTTAAGAAATACTTGTGCCGTAAACTTCCCATTGTCATAGAATTATATTGATTATGACTTCGAACCTCAGCTGGGTCAAATGTCGTTTCTGTGTGAAGTTTGCATGTTCTTCCTGCGTTCATGTGGGTTTCCTCCTGGTACTCCGGTTTCCCCCACAGTCCAAAGACGTGGTACAGGTGAATTGGGTAAGCTAAATTGTCTTTATTGTATGAGTGTGAATGAGTGTGTATGGGTGTTTGCCAGTGATGGGTTGCAGCTAGAACGGCATCCGTTGCATAAACCATATGCTGGATAAGTTGGCGGATCATTCTGCTGTGGTGACCCCAGATTAATAAAGGCACTAAGCCTAAAAGAAGATGAATGAATGAATGAATATTTATTATGTGCCTTTAATAATAGTGTATTAAAGGGTCATGAAATGCCTTTTTTATCTTCTGATATTCTCTGGGGTTCTCTTATAATATAACATAACTCAAGAACAAATAAAATCACAATTTAGAATTAAATGTCTACTTTCTGTTTTTGACCCTCACATTGGACCATACCATTTTGATGGGTGTTCTGGAAGATTTTGAAGTAAACTGGGTAGGAGATTTGCATATTAAAATAATAGATGGATGCTGTTGCGAAGTAAAATATGGGTTATTTTTGGTTAAAAACATAAACATAAATAAAAATTTAATAGTGATAAACAGTGGTGGATAGTTACTCTTAAAATCCATATGTTAAAATCTTGAATCACTTTAAAAACTATAGTTGCTTACTATTAAAGCTTACTTTTTAATAAAAGGAATACGAAATTATTTGCTATTTTATTTTTTTCATTTTTCATTTATTTACTTTAAAATTAGGATTAATATATGACTTTTATAAGTAAATTTACCCAACACTGGTAATCTAAACAAAGATGTCTTGGCTAGATTTGGGCTGTCAGTGAAAATCTAATAATGTCCAAATATAGACTAGCCATCAAATAGACAGAAATGTGAAGTGTTTCTAATCTGTCTATTTAATGACTATAGTTTATTTTTGGCCTATTGTTAGACGTCTCAAATATTTTTCTCTGACAGACCAAATTTAGCCTTGTTTTATTCAAGACATCATTGCTAGATGACTATTTAACACAACATTGCTTGGTGGGTTGTTTATTCATTCATTCATTCATTTATTTTCTTTGTCTCTATTGGAGATCGCCACAGCGAAATGAACCGGCAACTATTCCAGCATATGTTTCACACAGCGGATGCCCTTCACCAATACACACTCATTCACACATACACTATGGCCAATTTAGTTTATTCAATTCACCCATACCACATGTCTTTGGACTGGGGAAGAAACCCACCCGAACACAGGGAGAACATGCAAACTCCACACCGAAATGACAACTGGCCCAGCCTGGACTCAAACCAGTGGATTTTTAGTTATGAGGCGACAGTGCTAACCACTGTGCCACCATAATTAATTCAATGTTGCAATATTACTGTCAATGCAATGCAGTCAGCACAGCATTTCTTTTTATTTTACAGTTTGAACTGTTGTGTTTAAAAAAAGGAGTAAGCAGTAAAATGTGTGATGCAAGTTAAGAAAACAGAAGCCATTATACTCAGTAATTCTGCCTACGCTGGATGCAGTGTGGTGAGACATGACAAACGCAGACTGTAAACTCATGCCCTGATCTATTTCTGACCTACTCTAAGCACTCGTGCTACTTTTGAGTTGTAGGGGAAAATGAATGTGTGATGCAACACAACAAGAGTCAGACATGTAGACATGGTGTAAGAATCACATGGAAAGCAAGTCAAAGACTGCATTTTTTTAGGGGTGGAAATCACAGGTTAACTCACAATATTATGCTCCCAATATTGATACATCAGCGCGTCTGCAATATATTAATATATCACAAGAAAACCGTTCAAGATATATCACAATATTTGTAAATAAAAATGGGGAAAAAATGAATAAAAAATTATAAGATGTATTTCTTTTATTAACAGCACATACATTTTATAGAATTGTATGTACAATAACAATGTACAGTTGTCACACAAGCTTGAAAATGCTGATGTGCAGAGAAAAGCTAGTGACTAAATTTGCTTGACTACATTAATCGTAAAAATACTATTTATTCATGTCACTGCACAATAGCCTGTAATTCCTATCACTATCATTTTATTAAGTAATCTTAATGTAATCTAAGTGTTTTTGTCTGCCTTATATTACTTACCTGCTACATTATCTAAAGAAGCAATGTAGAAAAAGGGATTGATCTTTTTCTGCGGATGCAGTCTTTCATCACACACTCAAGTCAAAATGATATTGAGACAAAATTCAAAATGAGATGTTTCAGTTCCTTTGATTAACAAAAGCAGTTTTTTGAATTAAAGATTTCTTAAGCATGTTGTTTATAGTGGAGTTAGGGCTGGGTGATATAACCGAAAAAGCTTATATCACCATTTAAGTCATCTCATATCCTGACGAGGATACATATGGTATTGTAACGTTTCTGTCAATTCAATCAACTCACATTATATTAATTTTATGTTGACTACATGTATTTGTGACTATTTCTTTTGACATTTTAAAGTATCAACTTACTCATTCATTTGTGATATCTCTCACTTTTTTAAGAACTTAAGGGCAAAATGTTTAATAAAAAATATAAAAATATATATATATTAATAAAATAAGACAGATTTAAAAAGTAATGGTTACAAGTCCAACTTAAAAGGTAAAAAAATTTAACTAGACTGCAACTTTCACAAGATGCTGTTATTCATGTTTTTGTCTCCATCCATGTAATAGCACGTAATATTGCGCTCATATAAATTAAGAAAAAGTATTACTGTAAACAATGTATTTTATTGTAAACAATTTTGTGACAGCACAAAATAAAAGATTTTTGTTTTATATATTTTTTCATATTGCACAGCCCTAAGTACAATGGCTTCCCATATTTTCTTGTTTCCAGTCAAAATATCTGAAAATGAATAAATCAACAAGCATTTTCTGCACAATAAAACATATTGTCTTGTTTTCAGTAATAATAAGTCCAAATTTTTTGATTTTTTTCCTTAAAACAAGAAAAATAATCAGCCAATAGGGTAAGCAAAATAATCTTATTTTCATCAGAATAAAAAAATAAAATCAGTCCACGGCAATCGAAAAATGTGGAAAAAAATATTTAAAAGCCTTTATTGGCCTGGTTATTCCTTAAAACTGCGCCTACGCATTTCGGCAAAGACTTGCCTTCATCAGAGTAACAGTGATCATTTGTGTTTGAAGTTTCTTTTGAACACTATGGTCTCATGACTCTTTAGAATATCTAAACAATACTAAAATATTCAATTGAACATAAGTTAAACTCAACAATCATTTTTACAAGCACAAAAATTTGTATATATAGTTTTCATAGTATGTCTTATAATATTTTTTCTTCTGGAGAAAGTCTTATTTGTTTTATTTCAGCTAGATTAAAAAAGAGTTTTGAATTTTTTAAAAAACATTTTAGTTCAAAATGATTAGCCCCTTTAAGCTATATATTTTTTGATAGTCTACAGAACAAACCATTATTATACAGGTAACCTGCCCAGGTAACCTAATTAACCTATTAAGCCTTTAAATGTCACATTAAGCTGTACAGAAGTGTCTTGAAAATCATCAGGGCAAAGATTAAATAAATCAGTTTTTTTTTGGGGGGGGGGGGTGCCCTTATATTAGCTTTATATTTATATATATATATATATATATAAAGGAAAACAACTCATTTATTTTTGACTTATTCTTTCTGAAAACAAGACATTTTTTTTCTCTAGAAAATGCTTCTTGATATTAGAACATTTAGATACTTTGACTAGAAAATAGAATAAGAAAATTGGTAATAAGTAGAATTAATAAGATTTTTTTCAATCTATGATGCCTTCAAGTCTTTTGTTTAAGTAAATGGGTAAATGTGTGAGTTAATGTATGGATTTATTTTAATAATTGTTTAAAATAATTGAATTGACTTGATGTAACCAGTGTCAATGAACAAATTTGAATGATTATATTTTTTAAATAGATTCTAACATTTTGTGATACTGAGACTAGTCAAAATCCACATCATTAGTGCACATTGATCTTTTTATTTAACAATTTAGCCACGCTCACCTGGACTGTCCACCCTTTTGTAGTGGTAAGGGTTGATGCACACATCCTTCTGCTTGGATCCAAAAGGAAACTCACAGCACTCTAGGGCCTTGAGCTCATGGTGCGATTGCAGGTCGGGCCATCGCCACACACGGCAGTAGATGACGTGAGGAAGCCCCTTTCGGTGTGATACTTGAAGCCTCCCATCCAGTGAGCGTGGGATAGTGACACAATTGCTTGGCTGACCGGGGCAGCTGAGTGCCCTCTCTAGTTCCTCCATAGCGCCCTTCTTCTTCTTCAACTTCTTGACCAGTGCATCCACCGCCTTCTCTGCCCACTTCTCTTCTTCATCCCCTTGCTTCCAGCCCAGCAGTCGTTTGACCGCCGGGCTGGTGAAGGAAAAGAGTGAGGTGACATTCATTGTGGCGCCACGTGCGCCCAGTCAACACAGTCTCAGTTACTCCGTCAGATTCAGCTCACTAGAACAGGTAATTTCTGCTGTGCCTCCTCAAAAAATAAAAAAATCAGCCAGTTGCACATGAACTGGGGTATTTGCTGAAACTTTTATTGTTCCTTAGTTTGGACAGGTTGTCAAATGTACCTGCAAAGACACAGAGAGGTCAGTCAGAACCACATACTGCAAGATCCGTTCAAAATATTCCAACACCAAAACTAAAGGCTGAAACAACACTACATCAATTATACTCCGTTCTCAACAAACTTTTTATTGAAAGGTAACAAAAGAATGACAATACAATAAATAAACAACAACAAAAATTAAATAGGCACAGGTTGTTTTAATCAGTAACAGGTTATTCCACATAATAATTCAAATAGAAGAAATAAATGAAAATACAAAACATCCACTGAAGACATTCATCCGATCATTATTTAACAATGATTTAAATTTATTAAATAAAATTTATTCAATTAAATTATAATTGAAATCTCTGGGAGTTAAGGAACAATACATGTTATGCCTCCTTTCCACTAAATGATTTGGTTCCATTCAGTATGGTACGGCACAGGTCACCTTTATTAGGCTTGTGTCTCCACTGCCAAATGGTACCAATGCTACCCTTTTGATGGATGTGGTGTACGCAAGAAAGTTTCAGCCGACGTCATTCTTGCAAGTAAAGCTTTATGGCACATTTACAAATCATATACAAAACAGATGGTCTTTACACACAAATAGGCCTACTTGTGTATGATTGTTAATTACTAACCTTTCCAATGAACATGATTAGATGTTAGCTGCAGATTAATAATAATGTGAAATTGTACTGTAACGTCTGCACTTACATAAAATAAAAAAATTAAATAAAACATATATGAGAACATACAGAGTCCTACAGGTTCTGAAATGTTACCAATTACAAAAACAAAAATACCCAGAAAGTACTCATGTTTGGGTATACAGTCAGCTAAAACAACTCATTTTTTATTTTTCATCAGCACATGTAATAGCTTTTAGATTAGATGCTTTACAACTTGGTAAAATATAATTCCGTAATTCTGAGTTCATAATAGACCAAAAGGTGATGATCACAGTTAAACATGACAGTTTGTTCATTGTTTTAGGTTGCTGAAAGAATCATTTGCTTTGTTTTTTTCGGCTTCTACTTTGTTTTTTTGTATGTCACTCTCACATCTGTCTGTTTCTGAAAGGATCGGATGTCAGAAGCACATCAAGAATCACGCGCACGTTATTATTATCAACTCAAGAAGTTTATTTCAAATTTAGATGTGCGGCGAGTGCACGCAAATAGAGCTCTCTGGAGAAAGTGAAAACGCTCACGCTTTTAGGCAACCTTCTTATCAACAACAAGACACATGACAGACTCTGTGCTTCTTCTTGGCTTTGCGGCTGTTCATTAAGATAATGGAGGTATGTTTGAGCTCAGGTTGACCATGGCTCACTATTATATGTATATATTATTACGGTGTTATGTCTCGACTGTGTATTTAAAAATGGAGCTTCCTTTATTTTCATTCTCCTTGCTTGTGCATGCACTAGTGATGTTTCTCTGTAAACCAATAGCAGTCAGCTGTGTGTCTAGCTCCACCCTTTGGCACCTGTTTCTTTGGAAACAATACCAAAGTGTTGTTGTTTGATTCTTTTTTTTTTGTACCTTTTCACAATGGAAACTCACATAAAAGTACAGTATATCAAACCATACCGTACCACTCGGTGGAAACAAGCTATCAGTGTCACCGTATCTCTTCGTTTAATATTTTATTTAGTTAATTGCCAAAATCCAAATAATTTTACATTATAAAGTATACAAAGGGGGACATCCACATATTTCTGCTACCTATATGCAAAAGAAATTGGATTTGTAAAAAAATAAAAAGTCTGACTTTTTTCAATACAATCACAGACTAGACACAATTTTTGCTGACATGGTGTGTATGATGTGAACAGACTATAACGTCAAGCCAACGTTAAAGAACCGACTGCATTTTCACCCCACGTTAGCTGCATCCGGTCCCATCTGTACCAAGATGCTGTGCATGAACACACCAAACAGACATCAGCCAACTGCATCAAGAATATATGAGAAGATGTATCTTTCAATACCTGCAAGTGGCAGTATCTATATTTATGTCTAACAAGATGTCAATCATTTTTTGAAGTAAGTATAGCTAAGTGAAAGCAACAACTCCGGTTTGGGTGAGTCTCTTTAAATGCAAATAAGCTCCTGCTCCCCACCCCTTACCAGAGGAGGGTAGAGCCTTTAGACATTGTGCCTTGGAATACTCTATCAAAACAAAAAATCCATCATTAATAAAGTTTATTTTATGGATGGATTTTAAACCCATATCTGTTTAAACATGGTAACTGATCCCTATTGCTGACTATGCAGTTAATATAATTAAAAAAAAAAAACATTCTACACTCTACACTACAGTCATTATACCTTTTACTGCAAAGTTTATCTGGTTTAATTTTTACAAGTTGTATAGTGTATCCAACATTAACCCTGCAAATCTATAACCAATGACGCAATAAATTACCCTGAAAACACTGTGATGATGACATCATTCTGTTTTGGCTTCTCGGAATGGCTGCCAATGGAGTCACAGTGCAGACATTCCGGTTATATCTGCTTTACGGTAAGTTCTCGAAATGGTTTCAGCATATGCGAAGTGGGATGTGTTCATACGGGACGCTAAATGATACTGGCATGACACACTGCTGAGTGATGCTGTATATCCCTGAACAATGTCCTGACTCATATCAGTTTCCTCATGCGTAAAGATGCAACAGCTTATAACAGGATGCCATGAAGTAGGCCGCCATATAGGCTTTGAAACACAGCTGTTTATAACAGAGGAAAAAAAAAGTTTAAAAATTTAACAATTGGGGCCTGTCCACATTCTGGGAATAGAGAGGAAATGCATTTGGGAGAAGGATAAAAGTGACCATTCAGAAAGTTCCCAAGGCAGCTTTTCAATAGCCAGCATTCACGATCATGAGAAGGGAAATAAGAGTGACAATGCAAGACTTTACCCTTCTTTTCAAGTTGAATTTCAGATGATTCAGCATAGCATTCCTGTTTAAATAAAGCAAGAGGACTGAAATACACTTATATAGCTAGACACTTTCACATCAAATTGGATAACTGAACCATCACATTGTAAAAATCTATGTTTCATTTCTTGTGATTGATATGAATACCATTGTATGAGAGTCAGAATGGCAGGTAAGTGTTATCCATTGACTCTGTTCTGGCCCATCAACACCAGATAAGCAAGGTGACATCAGAGAGCAGCTATTTGAACTATGCTGAGTGCTAAGAATAATGTTGTCCTCGGTGAGTGTGACTGCCCTTAGCTACTGTTTCACTTCAGAAAGCTTGTCTGATGTAGGCTACAATCAGGTGTAAAAATTCACAACACACACACACACACACAAAAACTTAAACAAAGTTTTCCACAATAATATTCTAACTCAAGTCTTTCATGTAAAAAAAATTATCATGTTCTTAGCAACAACAACAACAATAAATGTATTTTCCGTCTAAACTAGCATGAACTCTGCACATCAGAGATGGAATCATTCATTGAAAACAGGTGCTGTTTATTAACTGGGAAGGAGTAAGTAGTATTTTTTGTCATGGACCACAGCAACAGGGAGGCAAAAAAGCAGCTCCTATTTTTAGCGTGATCTTGCAGCCAAAAGCTCATTTAAAAGCCTGGGACCTCCGGTTGTTGTCAGGGAGGACCAAAGGGTAGAAAGTGCATCAACAACTAACCTACAAGATAGATTTGATTTATTTACTCATTTATTCTGATTGGTTTTGGGCTCACGTTAATTGACACGAGATCTAATTTATGTTGTTTTTTAAATAAATATTAAAAATTTTCAGCACAAATTCATGTTGTTTTCTTTTTTTTTTCCTTTTTTTTTTCTCAGAGCTTCTTCTTAGGACAAGCGAAGGGATATAACAGATGGGTTAAAGAAGAATGTGTGGGGAATTTTTCATTTTTTTTTCTTGCGGAATAAGGAACAGGTGAGCATGCAAAGACTTCTTGCCATGGAAGATCTGTCAATGAGTCAAATATGTGTGGATGCATCTGCTATAAAGTTTTTTTAAAAGGAAAGTTCACCCAAAAATGAAAATTGACTTACCATTTACTCACCCTTGAGTTGTTCCAATCCAAACTTTTATGAGTTTCTTTATTTTGTTGCAAAGTAAAGAAAATATTTTGAAAAAAGCAGCTAAAACTAAACTAAAACTACTGACTTCCATACTAGCAAAACCTATATTATTCAAGTAAATGGTTACAAATTTTCAGCTTTCTTTAAAACAGCTACTTTTTAACAGAACAAAATAAAAGTAAAACAAGTTTGAAACAAGTAAAGGGTGATTAAATGATGATAGTAGGGCTGTGCGATTTGGGGAAAATATCTAATTTCAATTTTTTTGACAGATGTTGAGATTGTGATATGATTTGCGATTTAATTTTGTAGCCAATATTCAGCTCAATAACCTGCATCATAACTTCTTACTACTAAAATGCTGGAAGTGTTACTTAAAAAAAAGAAACTGAAAAGATATTAACTAACTCCAACATTTATTCAAAATTGTTTTTAAATATTCAGAAATTAAACTATTTTTTCTCTAGAGCAAACAGTAAGCACAAATAAAATTATCTTACCTGGTGCAAATAAGTTCCACTTAAATTAGGGAGATAATGAAACTTATTATACAAACAAAAAATAATAATTATAAAAATAAAGGACACTTAGCAAACTAACAAAGCTGATAAGAGGCAGATTGAAAAGTTCTGATTGGGCAGAATAAAAGTGTGTTCACTCAACTGGCTAGTAAGACTTTCACACACAGACAGCAGTCATGCATTTGCTCTGGGTTTGGGAAATGAAATAATACCCATATTACAAATCGCAGCCTC